GAGTACAAAACTATAATATTGTTTGTCGCTCGAACAGGTCTTCATCCGAAACGTGCACATCCGTTACGAGGACACAATCATGGACCCTGACCCGGATGTAACATTCACATGCGGCATCTGCCTTTTCAACCTCTCTGTTGAGTTTACCAACAGGTGAGTCGCCATGATCCATTGATCCATTCCTGTCCAACAGTCTAAGCCGTCTCCACAGAGTGCCTCATACACCCTCACACCCTTCTGTCTGCCGCAGCAAATGGAAGCCATGCCCGAGCAGTCCCGGCGCCACCTCCGTGTACCAGCTGATCCGAATCGAGTCCTTCTCGGTGTACGTGAACAAGGAGGGCAGGCCCATCATCGGCGACCAGGACCCCGAGCAGGTGCCCTTCAGCGTGTGGCGCGAGGACATGGAGCGCGGCCTCAAGCAGTTCAACACCGGCGCCGACCCGCTCAAGTTCAGTGAGTAGTGTGCCGAGAGCCCCGGGTTCAGGCCGGCTCAGCCCTCTGTGCCCGCTGACGTGCGCCCGTCTGTCCCGCAGTGGTGCAGCCCGTGTCCGCCAAGGTGAAGGTGATCGTGAACCGCTCCAACGAGGCGCGCGTGCCCAAGCTGCTGGTGGACTTCGTGGTGGAGGACGTGTCCCTGCGCCTCACGCGCGACCAGTACGGCGCGCTCCGCCGCCTGCACGACTCGCTGCGCCGCAACCGCGTCGCCTGGCGCTTCCGCCCCTTCCGGCCGGCCGGGCGCGTGGGGCAGGGCGGCGCGGCGGCGGCCGGCACGCGGGTCATGGCCTGGTGGCGGTACGCGCTGGAGGCCGTGCTGGAGCAGCGCGTGCGGCCCTACACGTGGAGCCGCGTGCGCCGCCACCGGGAGGTGTACTCGCGCTACAGGGACGCGTGCGCGCGCGCGCTGCTGCAGCCCGCCGACACCGAGCTCAAGCTCGACCTGCAGCAGCTCGAGGACCAGCTCGACGTCGTCGACATCCTGGTGGCGCGCGAGCACGCCAAGCTCAAGCTGCACCGCGACAACCCGGAGCGGGTGGCGGTGGGCGCGCGCGCCCCGTCTCGGCTGGCGCGCTGGTTCTCCGCGGCCGGCGGGGCCGGGGCGTCGTCGTACGCCACGTCGGGCAGCCGGAGCCCGTCCCCGGAGCTGCAGGTTCGCGCCGAGCGGCCGCGCGGGCTGTGGGCGCAGCTGTCTGGCAGCGAGCGGGACAGGCTGTTCGAGGCCATAGGCTACGCCGAGGGTACGCAGCGACCGGAGAAGCCCAAGCAGTACATAGGTGAGAGGCCTCGTCGGAACTCTGTTCTCTTACTCCAGACGACACCCTCCTGACCGCCCCTTGAACTCGCAGAACACAAGTTGAACGTCACGCTCGTCAACTGCTCGCTGAGCCTGGTCTCGGACGCGGGCGAGGTGCTGGCTAGCCACCTCACCCACCTGCTGGCGAGTCTGGAGACGCGGCCAGCCGCCTCCGCCTACAAGATATCACTGCGTGTGGAGAGCGCCGTGGTGGAGGGAGCTAGTCTGGAGCACCACCTCGTACCACTCGCCACGGCCAACGTCAACTCCGGTGAGCTTCAAGGGCGCCGACGCACGGTGTCCAAGCCGGCGTTGGTTATTTTCCTCACCTAAAACATTTTGTTTTCTGTCTGAAACCTCGCAGGTAACAATTACTCTAACTTCATGGCCATCGACATTGAGAAAAATCCTTCTAAATCAGACGCTGATTTTGGACTGTCCATAACAATGGAGCCCATGGAAATTGTGTATCATGAGGTAAGTGGGATTTGGTTGTTTCGCCACATGGTCCGCTAACGTCACGAACAAAGACAGTTAGTGGGGCATTAATTAACCATTACTCAAACTGACCATGGGGTGTTGCTCTTGCCCTCATCCAGCACGCGGTCTCGGAGCTTCTGACCTTCTTCTGCTCTAAACCGCGGCCCGTCAAGGACCTCTGCCTTTCGGCTGGCCACCACCTCAAGAGGGCCCTGAAGGCGGCGGCCACGGTGGGCAGGCGGGCGCTCACGAGGAGAAACACGTACTGCCTCAGCGTGGACGTGCGCGGGCCCTACATCGTCATCCCCGAGTCTGGCTCGATGCAAAAGTGAGGAATGCGTGCCGAGTGATGGCGATTTATTTTCGAAACGTTTCAGAAGGAATAACCCTGTTGTTTGTTCCCAGGGGAGGGCAGGTGCTGGTGCTGGACGCCGGGCGGGTTGTGGTGCGCACAGAGCTCCAGCCACCTGGAGTGAGCCTGGAGGACGCCACTCAGATGGAGCTGGAGGAGCGGCTGTACGACCGCCTGCACGTGGAGTGCTCCGAGGCGCAAGTCCTCTTCTGCGACTCGGGTAAGTCATGCTGCCACTCTTTTTTCGAAGGAGGTACACAGCACAGCGAAACCCTTTTCTTTTTTACCCCCCGGGTCGACACCCCTAACCAGTTTGTGTTCTCCGGTCCGAAGGTGACGAGTGGTGGGAGTCGCGCAAGATGCAAGACTCGGAGCTGCACTTGGTGCCCAAGGTGCGCGGGCAGGTCGTGTTCTCCAACAGCGTGCGGCCCGAGTACCGCGCGCTCGCCCGCCACAAGCTCACCGTGTCGCTGTCCAGCGTCAAGCTCAACCTGTCTGACCGGCGCATCGGCATGGGGCTCGACTTCCTGGAGAACGTCCCCGCGCCGACCTTCCGCCGCGCGTCCACCCACGCGGCTCAGCAGGAGGACCAGGTCGAGCACCCGGACCTGGACCCCGCCGACCACGTGGTGGCGGGGCTGAGTGGCGAGCAGCTGGCGCGCGTCCGGAGCGTCGTGCGGCAGGCCGCCGTCAGGGCGGTGCGGGGCCAGGCGCCCGACGACGGCTGCACGCCCAAGCTCGCCAACCTCGAAGTGGACAAGTGAGTCTCATGGCGACGACAAAAGCTTTTCGGAGCCTGGGATTAAGTTTAAAAATGGAACAGTTGTTGGTGGAAAACGCACACATGCCGGCTAATTGAAGGCCAACTTTCCGTCCGTCACAGGAGCTTCATGTCCTCGGACCACAGCGACAGCGAGGAGCTCGAGCTGTGGGCGCGCACCGTGGACCTGCCGGGCTTCGACGACAACGTGTCGCCGCACAACGCCATCACCATGCTGCTGCGGTTCGTCATCGGCGAGGTGGTGGTGAACCTGGCGCGCTCCAGCAACCGCGTCGACAAGCCGTACCTGCTGCTGCGCCTCGGCAAGCTCTGCTGGGACTCGGCGCTCATGGAGTACGGGCCCGCCGTGCAGGCCAGCGTGGGCTCGGTGCAGCTGGTGGACCGGCTGCACGCCGCGCCCGGCGGCACGGGCCAGTACCTCGAGATGATATCCACCGCCACCGGGGCCCAGGACGACGACGTGCTCTCCCTACTGTATAGGAAGGTGAGCGTGGGCGTGGGGAGGGTCGCGCTTTCGGCCGCCGCCGCATTCCGAACAGACAAAGCGGATAGCGAGGGGGGGGGGGGGCGAAAATTGCCATTATTCGTCTGTCATCCTTTGCAGGTGAGATCCAACTGCCCAGACTTTAAGTCACACTTCCACAGCGTGGAGCAGTCACTGGTTGTGGATGTGGCGACGGTGAACCTAGTGTTCCACCAGGAGGCTTTTATCACCCTCAACAAGTACCTTCAGTACATTGTACACAAGTGAGTACCCGGGGCTTCACGATAATGGAACCTGCCCAAACGTTGGTAAAGGATGCAATGCAAATCCGTACGCTGCTGCTGTCGTTTACCAGGTTTCAAAGCCGGGACAGCCTACGCGCTCGCGCGTCGTCGGCGTTCGGAGGGCTGCGGCCCAGCCTGGAGTCGGGCCGGCGCCGGGTGCGCGCGCTCTGGAGCGGCGCCGAGGACCCGCCCATCCCCCAGGGCGCCACCAAGTTCAGCTACTCCACGCGCGCGACCGAGCTGCGTGTGCGACTGTGCGACACGGACCTCGACTTCATGGACATCCGCGTCACGGGCCTGGAGAGCGACTGCTTGTTCAAGGCCAACGAGCGCATGGTGCTGAGGACGTACCTCACCGGCATCACCTGCGAGGATCTGTCCGACGTGACGCTCTACCATCGCGTGCTCCAGGTAATTCAAAAAACAAACTTTTTCAGAAAGTCATCTAAACAACGGGTTTTTCGGCTTTGAGCGTCTGCTGTTGGCACAGCTCGAGGTACATTTTTTAAACACTGCACTCTCTCGGGCAGGTCGACGATGACCGCGTCCTGGACCTGAAGTACGTGCGTCACGCGCCGCGCCTGTACCAGAAGTCGGGCCTCGCGGCGGGAAGGGACGACGACGTCAAGTCGGACGGCAGCCTCAAGGTGCGGCTGGGGCGGCTGAGCCTGGTGCTGCTGTACAAGACGGTGGTGGACCTGCAGCAGTTCGTGGAGCCCTTGCTCCGGCCGGGGCTGGTGCCGCACTGGCTTGCGCTGGCGGGCAAGGTCGTGGACAAGGCCGCGGGCCGCCTGCGCACCTGGCCGACACGCCTGCACGTGTCGCTCGACCTGCACCTCCCGGCGCTGCTGCTGCCGCAGAAGTCTGCCTCGCCCAACCTGGTTGTCGCCAACCTCGGTACGTGCGCTCGCCTTTAAATCACAGTGCCTTGTACAACAACACGGCCTTATCTAACAAGACCGTTCTCTGCTCCCAGGGGACCTGACCGTTGAGAACTTCTTCAAGGAGATGCCACCGCCAAGCCCCGACGGCGCGGGGTCGCCTCTGGTGATCGACAACATCCTGGTGCGGCTGGACGCCGTGCAGCTGAGCCGCGCCGTCATGACCCTAGCAGGGGCGCTGCACGTGCAGGAGCCCATCCTGGAGCCCTTGTCCCTGCGCCTCGACATCAAGCGCCTCGTGGCCTCGCCCTCCGCACCGGGGCTGCACGGCCC